CTCGCTGATTGTGTCTCGTGTTGGATAACGATTTCGGTTTCAAATCTCCGGGAAAGTTTTCTGTGTTCTTCGTGTAATAATCTTTTCTAGAAAGTATATTTTCATCATAATTTTCCAGTTGAAATTGTTCAGATACAATTATTGCACTGTTTTTGAACTTCCATAGAATTCAGGTCATATTCTACTAAGAGACAGTGAGATTAGTACTGTAGATTTTATATTAACTAAGAAACGAACAGATTTCTTTAATTTCATAAATAATTACATATGACCTATTTTTTCTTGTAGAACACCATTCGGACTGAATCCAATTAGGGAACTGCAAATCTATACCTATATTCTCTGACATGTCTAGCTCGATCATGTTCACATTTCACATATACATCACATGTGTATTCATTTAACGCTTCAATTGAAGATTTTTGAAATTTATAGCCTCTGTCCTCTAAGTTTTATTACTCTGACATCATATTCAAATATCACCCCCCCCCCCTAATAAATGCCCACAGTGTATCATGTTCCGGGTTTATTAGAGAGCAGTCAGTTATTTAGTACATAAGAGGGGCTACACTAAACTTGATTTTTTATACAATTGGGTATGACAGACCTTTTGTTCATATTACAAAATCCCCACAAATTCCGCATGTTTCTGACAACTGAACCATTTTTTTTTTCCCGGATTTGAAACACGGTAGGCCAAGGTCAACGGTGTTTCTTTCGTCATTATCCTATATATATGTTCACGTGTTTCTGTTTTGATGCATTATGGTCGGAATTTAATATACGTTTCAATTTACAAGACGATCATATCGACATTTATTGAAGTAAATATTCAGCCAATATTTAGCTCTACAATTTTATGATATATGTTTTGACTGTGTGAGGATCATTCCTTGTAAATAAACTAAATATTGTGACGAGTTTACTCTCCATAATGTGGATAGCATATTATACTCGATTTCCAGTCCCTGTATCGCACGTATATGGTTGCCGTTCCCGTTCGTTATACTACCTCAACTGTATTTATTATTATACACCTCCAGTAGGAAGGGTCACAATAGCGCAGCGATAAGCCTGTGAGACTGGAACTGAGTTTAGAAAAATACGCAGATGTCATCCATCATACGTCGACAGTGTGTCGAACACCGCGTCAAACCCTTCCCACGTGCTTTTTGAATCCCTATATATATATATAACACGATTTCTTTACAGTGCACGTGTGACTGGGTCACTTGAGAGCGTGGAACATGTATTGATGAATATTGACGATGTGTACCCATACGTACTTCATTCTTTCCGGAATTTTAGAAACTAGTTATGCAACAATCGTAACATTTTGGACCGTGACATTAGGTTTCTCGTGCGATGAATATTGATTAGCCGTTTTCGGTAATTCATACAATGTTTACTTGGCTCGATAATACGTATTTTTTATCGCATGCCCTAGGGGGACTAGTTAAACTATATCCAACTTGTCTGTCAAAGGCCTTTATCAGCTCAACATTATTACACCTGTCGTTCATCGGTACTATCGTTGATACAAATGCCACCGGTTCACCGTTATTAAGCTGCGAGTGTTATATTCCGTCTACACTTACAAGCTGCTTGAAAGTGGGCATTGATCTTCCTGGAAATTCATCATCTTTGAGGAAGTGTGTTTCGACTTCATCCGGATTTCTCGTATTACAGCCGTCTCTCAAATAACCACATATGTTTGCATAACCCTATAAAAAAGCGGGAAAAGGTCGTTTGAATCGATATCTCGGTAAACAAGCGCAAAGCTTGATTGGGAGTAAAACTTGATCATATTTATATTCTAAGCTATAGTGTGACAACATAGTCATATCCTCTCTCAGCGGAGAGTCACCAAAGTGAATATTTCAATGACTGTATTAATGATGTAATTTCTCAGGATGAAGCCAAATCTATCTAAATCATCGGACATTAACACAGAATTTAGTAAAAATTACAGAAATATGTTGCATAAATTAAAATGTTACAGTTGTTGAGCGTGTAGACCACGGATGAGTAGATGGATCAGAATGTGCACGTGCCTGTCGCCACTGCGTTTTCTTGGTGACTGCGTAATTTAATTATGCGCATTTTATGCAGGGTATTAGTCCGCGCGTTTCTATCTGTGATTAATGTACATTGCGTAACTCATGCGTATGCGTAGAAGCCAGTGTTTGATATTTGCTATGCCCGCAATCAAATACCAATCAAACAAATCGAATCAGCCACTCATTGAAAAAAAACAACGTGGTAATGTAAGTCAACTCCACGCTCATATTGTAATTCCCGATTACGTATGAAAATTAATTATTGAATATCTCAAAATATACTAAATCTGTCCAATACAAGATTGTTATTGTTTCTGTTCTGTATTGGCACGCATTTTAATCAGTTCTGTCAACGAACGAATGTGAAAAATAAACAAAATATCTGAATCAAAACTTGTATATCACTATGACGTCATTTGCTGGCCAGGTGTTAGTGGATAAAATCCGACAAAGTTTTTATAACAATTTGATCGGCGCCATGGTTGACATAACGTATCAAACTTGACCTTCAAATAAAACGACTTTTAATTCATGTTTATTACAACCAAGAAACCACGCATAATAAAATACTAGTAGTCAATTCAACAATATACATAGATACATATCACCGGCTCTGAATACTCTGAACACCTGTCACACACAGTCGCGACTAGCGATGAATCTTGTCTATATCCGTTCGTGCAAAATAAATCAGCCTAATGTTATCAATCTATATCAAACAATCTGTTTATAATGTCCAATTTTCTTTAATAATGTATACACGTGACGTCACAGCTAAGATGTTTTCATTCATATACATAAACTTCCGTTAGCGTGCATTGAATTGCCTATTCCACGTCAACTGGACGAGATGCCGAGCTACAAACATCGAGTTACATATTTTAGAAACCACGCCCACTTTTGAGAAACTATATCAAATTCTAACTCGATATTCAATTAAAATTTAACAGAACTTCGAGATACAGGCAATATATATTTTTGTTTTTGTTGAACGTTTATTTTTAGTAACCCGAACTTTAACTTGAATTAATTTGTTAACCGAACTTCGAGGTATGAGAAATATAAAATGTTAAACAAAACAAAAAACTTGAAAGTATGTTGCTCGTAACTCGAAGTCCTGTTAACTATTAATTGAGCATCGAGTTACAGTTTGGGCGTGGTGTATCAAATGTGGGCGTGGTCATTTTTGAAACTCGATGTCGTAACTCGAATAATTCAGCACCTCCAACTGGGCGCAGTTCGGAATACGCACAATGTTTCATTAGTGCGCATACCACGTCACTACAGCGCTCACTACGTCAACATGGCCAATTACGTCATTGTAGCGCGAACATTGCGAAACTATATTTGCGTCACCATAGAACGAGCATAGCGCACACAAAGACACCATTTGTCAATTTCACTGGAACATTTATATAAATGTGAATCAAATTCGAATATTACCGAAAGTAACTTCATTTTTAATTTAGCTTTGTAATTCTAGAGTCAATCTATGAATACTGCAAGATTCTGTGTCGATTATTGTATCTCCTTAGTGGTAAAATTTCACTATTCGTCCTTGTTATTTAATTTTATCTTACCGAATCCATTGGATGTCATAGCAACAATTTGTATACATCATAGTATGACCTCGAGGGTGTGTTTGCAACTTGAATATCGATGAAACAGTGCACAACTTACCACATTCTATCAAGAATTCCGTGTGGTTCATTTCAGTACTTGTGCTAATTAAAGTATCAGTTTCAATCGTGTTCAGAGGTGGACAATTTTAACATGCATTGCACATAGCCCTGCCATGTAGTATAATGCTAAATAGACCAACCAATATTTTACGACACTCAGTCATTGTTATTTGTGTGCAGGTTCAACTTCGTTTACCGAAGAATGTTTTCACATGATAGCGGCAAACTGAAATTCTGGTTTCCTGATAATAAGTTAGTTTTCGCTCTGATTATTTTACCATAACTTCATTCTGACATAAAGCGGCTCACCACCATGTAGTGGATATAACTCTATAAATAAAATATGTCAATCACCTGTGCACGCATTAAAGCCATATTTCTTTTGTTCAGGGTTACGGTCACTCAACGACATCGGGATGGAGAATTTTATTTGAAAACGGTGTCAAAATTCCGGAAGTTCAAATCCAGTATTCCCCGATTATTTCAGTAACCAATGAGACGCATTCACATACATTACGTCTATTTTCACTATTCAATACAGTATACATTATACGGCTATGTCGGCTAATATGTTTTGCGTGTGTCATGTCCTGGTTCCGTTGCCTAGCAACCATGCGTTGCATTGATTTCATTTTACTCTTCAGTGAGAACATGTTATATCGCCTCACACGTGAAATGTCAGGGGTTGTTTTTGTATGGTTCACACACAAATAGATATTATGGGATGTTATAACCTGAGAGGTAATAGATCATAGCAGGCTGATATGCATAAGATAGAGTTGATGCAAACATTCGGCTCATTGAATCGTAAAACCACACACAGGGCTTACGTGTCTATTTTATTCACACCCAACAGTACGCTGTGAAAACACTGATGTTAACAACTGAGAATAAACTCAGCTAAAATAACTACATCGCTTATCATATCATCTCGCTAGAACGGAAGTTGAAGTTGTCATTTCCAATATATGAAAGCTCAGGACTTTGCAGATCGAAACATAAGACTGCAAACATCCTCATGGATGAGGGCGCACTTCAGTACGATGTTATTCCTGGGCTAAACAATCTATCACGTTTCAAACTTTCTGTAAAATGTTCAACTTCCCTGTTTTTGAACACAATGAAGAGGACGGAAAGTAGTTCAGAATGAATATATATAGTGTTACATTTACCGGTGTTTATCATTACTGAATAACATTTTATTTTATTTTACAGGAAGAATACGAAGGAATGTTAGAGGAAGACCACAATTTGCATAATGCCGAGAGTGAGGCCGTACAATACATTAGTGTACGCATTATTGGCTACCTCAGTGCTGGCTTTCTTCCGTTTAATAATGCCGGCGATAGAGGACAGCATTCTATTCGGCGGGCGTGACCGATGGAAAGTCTACTACTTCCGGCCAGACAACGCCAGTACGGCCGATTTCAACCAGAGCACTTTGGGATATTGTCACGACAGTGTCTTTTTAATAACCATGGTGATAACCCACCATGACAACTGGGTGCAGAGAATGGTGATTCGTGAAACTTGGGGTGGCGTCAAAAAAGTGAGCGATAAAACAATTGTGAATGTTTTTGTTTTGGCGCAAACAAACAACAAAGTAATGGCGAACAGACTTCGCCAAGAAAACGAAGAGCACCATGACATGGTAGTGTTGAATTTTAAAGATCATTATTTAAATTTAACGTTGAAAACGTTGCAAAGTCTGTATTTAGTTACAAAGTATTGTCCTGCGGCGGAATATATTTTAAAGGCAGACGACGACGTGTTCATTAATTATTTTTCGTTGGTGCCATTTCTCTCTAAAAGCCCGCGTAAAGATTACGCTGTTGGGTTTAAACATTACAAAGCTACGCCTGTGCGATGGAGAAAGTCAAAATGGTTCACGCCTAAACATATTTACAGGGAACGGGTTTATCCGCCATATTTGGCGGGTACTGCATACGTCATGTCACGTGATGTCGCTTTAAGAGTACACAACGTAGCAACAGCTGTGACGTTTCTGCCATGGGAAGACGTCTTTGTTGGGTTGTGCATGAGGAAACTCAAGATTACACCTTTAATGGATAAACGGTTTGACACTCACGGAAGGGAGTATATACAGAATAGAACATGTCCAATCCATCGTATATTCTCGATACACCACGTTGAACCCAGAAATATTACTGATTTATGGAAGAGATATCACGAAGAAGAGCAAGATGCACGATGTCATAATAAGTATCATTATACTGAAATGTTGTCTGCGAAACCTCTGACATGATAACAAAATGGCGGTCAAAACAAGCAACGCAAAACTTACATTACACAATTTTAAGCCATTATTCTTCCTGTTGAGTATTATATTTGTTGTGCCAAAGTTCATATTCCTATTCAACGCCTCGTCTGTCTACGATATTATTTTACGTATGTGCTGTTGCACTCGTCCGCCACTTTTGAGTATTGGAGTACTTCTCCATACTGTGTGGTTTCGATTATCCTTGAACAGACCTCGGAATGATAGTATTTTTTTGTCGATGTATTAAATGCGTGTTATGTTTTCTTAAATATGATAAATTAAAATTGTGATCCCAAAATATGTCTACTTTTAGTTACACATGCAGACATCAAAAACCTAGGATAATTTATTATATTATATTGGCAGTTTTAATTGTATTGGTTATTGTTCTCAGACTAAGAAAAAAATAGAATAAGTAACAAAACGAGAAAAAAGGTGTACCCATAATTTAATTAAAGTTTACCATTTTTCTATTGCTATTTCGAGATTAATTTATTCAAGAGCGTTTCATCCGAATTAATTGTTTCCACTTACCGATTTTCATCAAACACGTGGGAAAATGTTATTTTGATATACTATATGGCATTATTTTCAGGCATTCTCACAATGTTGGGTTTTCATATCGATCAGAACAATGTGTAACTCTGACCAATTCAATATGAAAATAATTCATAGTTCTCCACAAACAATGAGGCTAACACACGTCATATGACTTTATATGTGTTTTTTATCATTGTAAAGTCATGGATATATTATTGAACGTACGAAACATGTGAGATGTACTCTCGTTGCGAACCCCTAAAGAGTATAAGATATGAATATGAATGTAATGTAATAGACAATAGTGATATATTTCTACTCAGAACACGTGTGTACAATCCCTTGCCGACATACCTTGGGATCATTTGTTTGACATACATTAAAATTGCAATTAGGTTATCACAGCTGGTTGCAGAGTGGTTGCAGATTAGGATCTTAAAGGGCGGCAGTCGTCGTGCAGCGTCCTGTTCGATATGGAACTCGTAGCGACGTATACAAGGCGTGTAAAATACATTGTTTATTTACATGAAATTCGAACATTAAAGCGCGGAAGTCGTCGCGCTGCGCATGTGCCACATTTGTGTTGATAAACATTGATTTTCCCACAATCCAATGCGCTCTTCAAATGGAAATCACAAGTATGAGGTT